TCTGTGCCACACACTTTTCTAAGTGTGCTATCTCATTTAGTGGAAGTGAAGAAGCTGACTTTTTCTTATGGTCATGCAGTAGGCAGTAGAACTGTAGTCTGAATCTGTGCAGTCTTCTTTTAGAGGTTATGCTGTTAACAATACATTTTACAGCCTTCAGATAAGAGCCTTGTGTGTCATGTTAATTATCTTTTTAACAGTGGGAAGCCATTAGATGATTTTAAATATTAAAAAAAATCAGAATTAACATTAAAAAATAGCAGTCTGGTGGCAACTGGTGAAAAAATGAGTTTTGGAGAAAGATGAGACTTAGAGGAAGGGCAGTTACAGTAACAATTCAGGAACTAAGAGACATCTAAGTGAAATGGAATCAAAGGAGAGAGGAGTTTGTATTTATTTCAGCTGGAGAGACAGACGGATGTGACTGGGGGGGAGAGAGAAAGGTAGAGTGGGTTTTAGATGGTGCTAATAATTTTATCAAGAACAGCAGAGGAATAAGTTTAGGCGACATTAAATATTCTGCATTAACTACTATCTCCCTCTGCATGATACTGTCTGATGCCAGTAACTTCCAAAGTGGAGTCAAAATCAGGACAGAATAATTACTTTTATTGTATTTCTTTTTTTTTTTATAATGAACTCAAATGAGTTTTTTTTTTAATTATGTATTTTTTTTTTAAGATTTATTTGTTTTTATTTATTTATACAAGCACTGGGTACAGTCAGAAGCGCGGGAGGGTGAGAGAATTCACCAGAGCCAGAGCAGGGAGCAGAGCAGGCAGAAGGACCGAAGTACACTGCTGAGGGGAGCAGCGGGCGGCAGGAGAGGTCTGCACGCCATGTGGGACCCTCCTCCGGTGGCCGGGGAGCAGCCGGGGATCGAACCGGCGCCGCAGAGGCTGCGGGCAGCTTCGCAACCCAGCGCTCAACCGCTGCGCCACCAGGGAGGCCCACTTTTATTGTATTTCTAAACTCCAGCTGTGGATTGAGTGAGGGGGTATTGGGAGGAATTAGCTACGTGGGAGATTAATTATCTCTCCCTATTTATTACTAGAACCTTGTAGGAATGATTTCATACCAAGATCTCATAACAAGTCAACTGGGGCTTGTCAACGCCAGAAGTGGGCATTTTTAGAGAAGCTCTGGTAGAGGAGCTGGTGGGAGAAGGTGGTTGCAGAAGTTGGGGGCAGGGGCTGAGGCTCTAAGACCCAGCTTTCCAGACTTGGCTCAGATGCAGCTCTGTTTTCCTGGTCTCTGGAATCTCTACCATCCTTTAAGCTCAGCCCAATGTTCATGCCCAGCCCTTTTGCTAGTGACTTTGACTCCAGGCCTAGGTAACTGCTTACCATTTCAGGGTTTGATGGGCAGTCCAGGTCTATGATGTCACATCTTGGGGTGGAACAGGGCCAAGTAGAATCTTGGGCCTCCCCAGTGGCGCAGTGGTTGAGCGCTGGGTTGCGAAGCTGCCCGCGGCCTCTGCGGCGCTGGTTCGATCCCCGGCTGCTCCCCGGCCACCAGAGGAGGGTCCCACATGGCGCGCAGACCTCTCCTGCCGCCCACTGCTCCCCTCAGCAGTGTACTTCGGTCCTTCTGCCTGCTCTGCTCCCTGCTCTGGCTCTGGTGAATTCTCTCACCCTCCCGCGCTTCTGACTGTACCCAGTGCATGTATAAACAAACAAACAAACAAACAAAAAAAGAATCTCTTCACTCCCTTCTTCCTAGATGGCCCTATTCCATTGCTCACCACCCACACCTGACCCCCCTGTAAACCAAGGACTTTGTTATTAATCGCCATGATGCCTTTCTGCACATGTGGGATTGAATAGAACTCCATGTCTCACCCTGACACCAGTGTTTCTTCCCAGGCCTTTGGGAAGAAGGAGGAGCTGCTGTGTGGCAAGGGTACCGATTTAGGACTCAAGTTATGATCTCATTCAGTTGTACCAAGTTAAAGTTACTGTAGAGTTTAATGTATTAATCTGAACTAAAAGTGGAAACAGTAAACTATATTTCTTTCTCTTTATTCAAACATTATTTTGTATAAGATATACAAAAAAGATAAATATAGAAATGTTCCATTCTGTTGTGTTTCTTAAAGAGTAGATACCTGTGACTATCAGTGTGAGTTCCCTAACTTTGTCCTTTTTCAAATTGTTTTGACCTTCTAATTTATTTACCCTTAATACTTTGCATTTACTATTAAGGATATAAGATGTATTTCATTCCCTCTTTCATTTCCTAAAATTAAAATCTTTTTAATAGCTTAGTGAGTATGGGGAGCATCTGGGGGAGGGAGTGGTACTAATGCATGGCTAAAATAATCTGCATTCATTCTTAAAATATAGAAGAATAATATAAATAATAAACATATCACTAAAATCAGTATTAGGATCAGCTTGTTGATGTGTATCCAAAAAATCTTGCTTGGATTTTGATTGGGTTTTCATTCAGTCTATAAATTGTCTTCACAATATTGGGTCTTCTAATCCATGAACATAACATGTCTCTCCACTTATGTAGCTCTTCTTTGATTTTGTTCATCAGTGTTTTGTGTATTTTTCAACAAACTAGCCCTACATATATTTTGTAGATATAAACCTAAGCGTTTTATAGGTTTCCTCTTTTTTTCCTTAGCCCTTAGAATTTTTCATTGTAAACAGTCATGTTGCAGGCAAACAGAATGTTGTATTTTTGGATTGCTTTCCATTTCTTTTTCTTTATTGCACTGGTACCTCCAGTATGATGTTAAATAGAAATGGTGAAGAAGTTCTTGTTTTGTTTTGTTTTTAGGGGAAAAGCATTCAGTCTTTGACCATTAAGGGTGGTGTTAGTAGTAGCCTATTTTGTCAGTAGATTTTGTCAAACTGTTATAGGGCAGCCCCAATATAAAATGGGTTGCCTGACTGTGGGTCCTCACCCGCGCGCTTAAAAGGACTTATCAATACTCTACTGCAGGCACACACGCGAAAGCTTAATAAAAGGTTTATTTACAAGGGAAGGACAAATGAGGAAATGTACAACTCAGAGAGAAAAGTGGGAGACAAAGTTTTTAATGCGTCCTACCCGAGCCACAGATCTGGAATCCCACAGGGTACTCTGAGAGCCGGCTGCAAGCCAGGAGCCATGAAGCCAGGAGGCGAGCGAGAGAGCGAGCCCCCCAAGGCCCACGTGTTTGGTTTTTATACCAAACCTGGCTGCTTAACTCCACCCTCAGGTCCCAGCCATCTTCCCTTTGGTGGGGATTTGTCTTTCACAATGTCTTGATGGCTTTGGTCTGGAGTGGGGGTGGAGTCCACAAAGCCTGCATTGAATTAGCACTGGACTTCCTTTCCCCCTAACAAGATCAAGGGCAATCTTAGTTGCTAGGAATTTTATCATGATTGGATGTTACATGTTAACTTGTTGCTCAGATCATTGGATGATTGTATGGTTTTCACCTTTAGCCAATTGTTATTGTGACTTGCTATCATTGTTTTCAAGTATTAAAATAGCTCTTCATTTCCAGGATAAACCCCTATCTTTCTATTGAATTTAGTTTGCTGGGGTTGGTTGGTTTGTTTTTTGAGGACTTTTGTAGATATGTTCATGAGAGGTTTTGGTCTGAGAGTTGTGTCTCCTGTAATATTTCAGTCTGGTTTTGCTATGGGACAGTGCTGTTTTCTTAAAATGAGTTGGATAGTGTTCACTTAACAAATTAACAAATCTAGAACTATTCAGGTTGTCTTTTTCTTCTTGAGTGAACTTTAGTTTTTGTGTCTTTCAAGAAATTTACCTTTTACATAAGTTGTTGCTATTGATATTTTAAATACTATCCCCCCAAAAAACAAAAGAGTTCGCATTAAGGCAGTTGTTTGATAGCTACACTGTCATATTCTGCCATATTCATCTTTTGGTGGGAGGGTTTTACTCAATCTACCAAAATTGTTTGAAATTTGAGAAAGAGCACAATCCAGTGAATAAAAGTTTAGGTTCAGGAATCAGATTGTTACTTAATAGCTCTACTAAAAAATGTGCAAATATATAATTACCTCTGGGGTTGTTGTGAATAGTGAATGACATAATTCATGATAGTGCATGATACACTAAATAACCTCATTTTTGTTATAATCTTCATTGTAGATACCAGAGGTATCCAATAACAACCATATATATTGCTTCAAATTGTTTAGTGTTCTAGACTACAAAGGCTTTTCCTTTTGTTTTGAAATCAAGTTTTTTAATCTTTTCAAGGCCTTGTCATACATGTGACTTGTAATGAGGAATATATTCATTTTAGCCACATATATACCAGGTCCTCAAATAATGTTTACTAAGAACATTGATTTCCTTCCAAGGCCATTCCCTGTGTGGAGTTTGCATGTTCTTCCCATAGCTGTGTGGGTTTTCTTTAGGCATATCAGTTTCCTCTCACACCTGAAAAGAAGTGCATGTTAGGTTCACTGATCTGTGTGTAAATTGTCCCCAGTTGTATGAGTGTGGATGTGTGTGAGAGTGCACGCTTTGAGGAAATTCATCCAGGATTGGTACCTACCTTGTGCCCTGAGCTGCTAGGACAGATCAGCCAACTGTGATCCTAACTGGAATGAGAGGTTTGGAAAATGACTGAATGAGTGAAAACAAGTTGCTTAATATTTAGAAGAATGTGGGGTTGTTCTTTAGAAGTTTGGTGATGGTCAGAAATTTTATTTTTATCAGTGACAAATGGGAACATTGCCTCTTTGCCATCTGTCTCCTAAATTGCATATTTTATATATAATCAGACTTATACATCATTTTTATATCAAGTGATTAAGACAGTAGTAAACTTAAAGATCTTGCATGTTACTGTCCTTGAAATCTTGTCATTTTTAGTATAGAACTTTGAAATAGTATAATGTTGTAACATGAACTAATATAATTTTGCAAAAAATTCTCTAGTTTCCACACTGATTTTTGTTTTGTTTTTTGATCATTTTAGCAGAAGCCTAGGGTACTGACTCATTTAAATCTTTGTATTTTAGGTGCGTATAGCAGCAAAATTCATCATTCATGCCCCTCCTGGAGAATTTAATGAGGTATTTAATGGTGAGTGTTTAATAACACTAAGGCTTATTTTATCAAGCTCTCTTTATTTTTAAAGAATAAGTTAAATAAAACAACTAAGCTAAGGGAATATGTAGAAAAATCTGTATTTTATGAATCACAATGAAAATTTTTGTCAGCCTAGACTTTCTAATGGCTAGAATATAATGTATTTATGATATATATATATATATATAATTCTATTTGAGTAAATTAACCTTCTTAAAAGACTAACTTATGAATCATTTAAAAATTTTAATTATTTTTTTAGAATTTGTGAAATCCATTTTTCTATGTCTTTTCAAGAAAAAACTACAAGATTCAGATGTTAGTATGAACATCCAAAAAAGGTTGAGGAACATTATTTTACCATGCTTAGAAGATAACAGCACATATAAAAACATTTTTTTAAAGACCAGAAATTTAAGCTGTTACACAGTCTGCTGGTGGCTATAAAAACTAATAGCTTTTCTTCAGCAGTAAGAATAACGTGATTGATTGCTGAGTAATATTCCATTGTGTATATGTACCACATCATCTTGATCCAGTCATCTATTTTGGGCATTTGGATTGTTTCCATAGCTTAGCTATTGTAAATAGTGCTGCTATAAACATAGGGGTGCAGGTGCCCTTTTGAATTAATGTTTCTGTGTCCTTTGGGTAAATACCTAGGAGTGGAATTGCTGGATCATATGGAAGCTCCATCTTTAGTAGGTTGAGGAATCTCCACGCATGCAATTTGCAGCAACATGGATGGAGCTGGAAGGGATCATGCTCAGTGAAATAAGCCAGAAAGAAAAAGAAAAATACCAGATGGTCTCACTCATAGCAAGAATTTAGAAAACCTAACTAAGGGACTAGGAAAAAGACTAATTATAATAAAGTGAAAATCAAAATCAACAAGCAACTATAAACCAGAGACACACTACGGGGTGGGGCGGGGGGGAGGAGGGAGTAGGATCAAAACAAGAGGGGACTATAACCAAGATGAAAATGCATACATTGTGCAAAAATGATGTAAAAAATATATAAAATTAAAAAATGGGGGAAAAAAAGAATAACATGATTGCAACAATTGCCAGGAAAATGGTCCTTTTTATAAAAAATTTTTTTCTTACGCAGTTAAAGAAAATGCTACCAGAATAACATTAAATGTTAATTCTATTTTACGTGTATGTTGCATTCACCATGTCTTCAAGTAAAACTATTTTGCATAGGGTTTTTCAATTTTATTTTTTAAAGTCTACTCCAGAGTAAACTATTTAAACCATGTCTTTTAAGTTTAGTCACTCATTTTCATTCATAGTGTATGATGTAATGGAATCTTACTTCAGAGAACATTAGTTTTCAAAGTCTTAAAAAAGGCAGAAATTCATAAGGTTAAAATTACCCTTGAAAAATCCCTTAGATCATCCTCACTTTATAACATTGTATGACTTAGTGCCGATATAACAATATATGATAATTCTTAGACATTTAAAAGCTTAACCACTGAGCTACACTTAGAAGAACAGCAAATCTCATTGTGAAAAAAATCTGGAAATTAAAGTAATTCTGCTTTTTTAAGATAACTATAAAATCCCAAGTAGTAAATTGGGAATTTGGGGTGAGTTTAAAAGTATTTATGCTTCCTATACATTTGATTTCTGTTTGAATATTCAGCCTCTATAATCTAAATATACATTAACGTATTTGGTGGTTGGAGGATTTATTAAATACACTGTCCTCTCTCCTAAGGTTAGACTTTGTCTTGTAACTAAATTGATAATCGTGAAACTGTGCCAAAGGCAGTAGCTCCTGATCCTGTGCAAATCACAGAGCCAAAGTAAATTACAATTCTAAGAAAACTTGTATTGTTCTTACCCTGAATTAAACAAATGCCCTACAAATTTTTTAATCAGAAAGATTTAAAAAAGTATGAGTACTTGAAATTGCCTGTCTAAATCTCATTTGAAATTGTTGTTGAATTTTGCTATGTTTGGTGGTGAGGTACAATAAATTTGAGTGAGTTGTGTGATAGAAATGGCATATAAGATGCTATTTAAATTTTAATTGAGAGATTATTTAGAGTTCAAAAAATAAATATTTGAGGGGGAAATATCATGAATTTGATTATTTTTATTGCTGTTTTTGTTTATATTACTGGCATCAAAATGATTTTAAGAGAGCAGCTACAAAATTTTAGAATTGCAAAATCATAAAATCTCATCAGGGTAGTGGTTTCCAAATGCTATTTCCTAGACTGACTACATTGGAATCATTGAAACATGCATTTCTTCATTTTCTGGTCTTCATTTTCAGAAAGTGATTGGGTAGATCAGGGACTTTTAACATCTGTATTTACTTTTTTAAACTCTCAATCTGCCACTATATTGTTCTGATGTGATAAGCCTGACTTGGAACTGCTCTTATGAAATATTTCATTTTGGGCCTCCCTGGTGGTGAAGGGGTTAAAGTCAGCTCTATCAAGCTATACCAGCCACTGCAAGCATGAGTTCAATCCCCAGCCAGGGAGCTAACCCACATGGCATGGCAGACCTCTCCCGTCTCCCTCACTACCCCCCTCAGCAGTGTATTTCAGTGGAACTGCCTGTTTTACTCCCCACTCTTGTCTCTGATGAATCCTCTCACCCCAGCACCTATGGCCAACACCCTCATTCTTGTATGCATAAATAAATAGAAATAAATCCTTAAAAAAAAAAAGGTATTTTATCCAAATTCTCTGTCTTTTTCTGTCATGATGAAAGTATGTGCTTTTTTTCCCAGAGTAATCTGGAGGAAATGGAGTCCGCTTTTAAATTATTTTCCCATTTGGAACTGGAAAAGATGCACTACCATGCAATACCTCTATTAATTATTGTTTAAGATATTGAAAATAAAAGAATCATACTTAGCAAGTAGAATTTTCCAGTTTGCTTTGTGGGATAGAAATAACTAAAATTGTAAATGTCTATATTTTTTAAAATAATTTTTTAGTTAGAAGATTCCAGTGTTTAAAATCAGTTAATTTAGAAATCAGTGTTATTTTAAAGATTAGTAAAGATTTTTTTTTTCAGTTAAGTCCTACTATTGAAAAGAGGTATGTGAATAGACAATTCTTATTTTTTTAAATACTTTATTATTTTTGTAAAAATGATTCTTGATCAAATAATAGAGTCAAAAATTAGTACAGATTTAAGAATTAGTAAACAAAGTGAGGACACTTATCAAAGAGTTATATGTATAAATATAAATATATTCCTGTGTTATTTGAGCATGAACTCTATGAGGACAGACGTGCCTACATCTACATTCTATTCACAAGCTATTTCTTGCTGAATAACTTTTTCTATAGTGCACATTCATTTGAAATTTATGATAGTATTATCAAACTAAGAAGTATAGAGTAACTCTTCTGCTGATCTTACTACACCATCTTTTTGGTGTAGCTTATCTTCACTTTAGTTCTTTGGAGATGCATTACAGTTTGCCTGCACTGACAATTAAGGATATAAAATAACATGTATTTCTATTTTAGTACCTCTTCTGTTTCCTGATGTCTTTTTTTTTTTTTTTTTTTTAATTATTAACACCATTGTGTGCTTGTGGTTATTTTGGCCATCAGTAACATTTTGATCTTGCTTGCATTGGGAGAGGGAGAGGGACTAAAATAATCTGTATTCATTATACAGAATTTCAAACATGAAGAAATAATAATAAAGCAAATATATTATTTGTTTTGCAGATGTTCGGTTACTGCTTAATAATGATAATCTTCTCAGGGAAGGAGCAGCCCAGTGAGTATTATATATTTGTATTAACTATAGTGATACAGGAGGAAATGTTTTCCAAGTGTTTTTTAGGTTGGGGTCTCCCTGGTGGCAGAGGGGTTAAAGTTTCAGCACTAACAAGCTATTTATCACCAGCCACTGCAGCATGAGTTCAATTCCCATCCAGGGAGCTACCCACATGGCACAGCAGACCTCTCCTGCCTCACCCCACTGCTCCCTTAGCAGTGTATTTCGGTATATCTGCCTGTTCTGCTCCCCACTCTGTCTCTGGTGAATCCGCTCACCCCCAGCACCTCTGGCTTACACTACCCAGTTCTTGTATGCATAAATAAATAAAAAATCTTGAAAATTAAAGGGGTTTTTAGGCACTGAATTTGCACATAAAGTTCAAATACATACAATTATGTATACCTACTGGGCTAGAATAGAAACATTTTTGATCATAGGGACATAACTATAGCATGAAATTATTCATGTGTATTTGATAGTAGTATACTCAGTACTACATTTTGACATGTGCAAAATTAGTTAAAATTATTTAGAAATTTTGACTTTTGAAGTTGTGATTGCTTTAATTTTTTTTTTAACAATGTGTTCTTTTTCTTTTTCTTAAGATTTATTTATTTATGCAAGAACCGGGGTACAGGCCAGATGTGTGGGAGGGTGAGAGGATTCACCAGAGACAAAGTGGGGAACAGAACAGTCAGACTGACGAAATACACTGCTGAGGGGAGCAGTGGGCAAGGCAGGAGAGGTCTGCTGCACCATGTGGGATTCTTGCTGGCCGGCTGGGATCAAACCCGCACTGCAGAGGCTGCGGACAGCTTCACAGTGCGGCGCTCAACTGCCTGCGCCACCAGAGAGGCCCAAGACTGCTTTAATTTTTAAGCCATTTTACTTTTTGTTAGGAATCTGTTTGACTCTAATAGATTATGAGATCTCTGAAGGTTGGCAGTTTTTTAATCCATCCATTAATACCTAACATATTACTTGATACATTTATTTAATAAATCACATATTTATTTATTGAGTTTGTGAGTTATTCAAAGAGCTTGTTATTTCTAAATCCTGGTTCATGGTCTCTGGACCAATGATGACAGTTACAACTTGCCATAAGTATCTTAGGATTTCAGAGAAATTTCTTTTCCCACTACTCCCTCCCAACATAAAGTTATGGGGGCCCATATTTTAGGCTAACCAGCTTTACTGTTCATTTGAAAAAGATGAAATTAGCCTCCCCTGGTGGCGCAGCTGTTGAGCGCTGGGCTGCGAGGCTGCCCACAGCCTCTGCAGCGCTGGTTCGTTCCCCGAGTTTGTTCCCCGGCTGCCAGTGAGGGTCCCACAAAAAGAAAAAGAAAAAGATGAAATTAAACAGATTTTTAGGTGTCTTACAAAGTGTCTACTACCCATTTAATAAGTTGCTTTTCATCTTAATATAGAATCCATATCTGAAATCCTGACCGAGGAAAATTTAATCTAGTTCTATTTGTGTAATGTTTAAAGATTTATCCAGTAAATTTGTGAATTATGTGAATCTTAATGAAGGTAGAGGTTCAACAGACTTGTAGGCATATGTGAATTTGCTTAATTTAAATTAGAATGATACTTCTTTTCCCCCTCCCTTATGCACATCTAACTTAAGCCCCATCTTTTTAAATATGAACTGTCAGAAATTTGACAGCTAGTAATTTACTTTTACTTTGCTATTTTTATATTTATTTACTAGTCTCTTATTAACTCATCAGTAATGCTTTCTTTGTTCAACCAAACATTCCTTAATATGGGAGACTCAGTAGTTAAAACCTGAAATTTCAGTCAACATCTTTCCATCAAGAGTAATCTGAAGAGCTTCCAGGTAGATTAGATACATTTAGATACATTAGATACATCTACCAGGTAGGTAGATACATTTCTAAATTTTATAATTCTCATTGTCCTTTTGGTTAAGTGGAAGAAATTTCCCAGGTTATAGATTTAATAAGATGCAGTATGTTCTTTTTATATATATATATATATATATATATATATATATATATATATATATATACATACTTTATATTTTTTGTACATTGAGAATTTTTCCTACAAACACATTGCATAATTACCTAATAATATATTATTCTTTTTTTTTTTAAAGATTTATTTATTTATGCGTACAAGAGCTGGGGTACAGGCCAGAGATGCGGGGGGTGGAGGAGGATCCACCAGAGACAGAGTGGGGAACAGAACAGGCAGATCAACTGAAATACACTGCTGAGGGAGCAGCGAGTGAGACTGGAGAGGTCTGCCTTGCCATGAGGGTTTCTCCCTGGCCGGCCGGGAATCGAACTCGTGCTGCGGAGGCTGCAGATTGCTTCATAGTGCAGTGCCCAACCCCTTGCGCCACCACAGAGGCCCAATATATCATTCTTTAGTCAAATGATAATAGAGCGATGACTCCATCTCGTCATCGTCTCTAATTCAGACTCTAAGCAGTTCAGTAGCCTAACTGCTTTCTGGTTGTTGTTGTTCCATTGCCCAAGTTGTCATTCACATTGCTGCCAAAATTAATCTCCTTTAGAAGTAGTTCTGAGTTCTCCTTTCTCAAAAAAACTGATTTTGCTTTTCCTCCCAAGTAAAGTACTCATTTATCCCATCATTCTGGTTCTTTCAGTTCAGTTCAGTAAATATAACTAGACACTACTGTGTGTCAGGCATTGAACTTAATGCTTTCTAAAATACTGTACCTAATCTGGGCCTCCCCGGTGGTGCAGCGGGTTGAGCACAGCGCTATGAAGCTGACCACAGCCTCTGCAGTGCTGGTTTGGTTCCTGGCCGGCCAGGGAGATTCCCACATGGCGAGACAAACCTCTCCTGTCTAACCTGCTGCTCCCCTCAGCAGTGCTTTTGTTCCGTCTGCCTGTTCTGCTCCCTGCTCTGTCTCTGGTGAATCCTCTCACCCTCCCGTGACTCTGGCCTGTACCCCAGCTCTTGTATTTAAAAAAAAAAAAAAATGCTGTACCTAACCTGTCTACCTAACCTCTCTTGCTTATCCTGGTCCCTTGAAATACTTTTGTCTTCCTGTCCCTCCAATTTCTGTAAGACCATAGAACCTATTTAGTTTCTCAAGACCATTTCTCAGTATTATATCCATTATGAAAACCCCCCCTAATTCTTACCCTTGCTTTATCAGAATGTAATTTTAAAGAGAAAAACATATTCTCTGCAGTATTTTGTTGGTAATTATCTTAGGGTACTTCCTACTTCCTATCTGTGTTACAGTTTTATCTATTACCTTGTAAAATTGTAAGCCCTGTCTGTGATCATAACATCTGTCCGATTAGTCTTTGCATCTTTTACAGCACCTGGCCTGTTTCTAGTAGATGTTATCTTACATATAAGTAAGAAACAGAGCCTAGCTAAATATGTATCTTATAGATAATTAAATATACTTTCAGGGTTTGAAAAGACCAACTTAAATTAGTTTTTAAAATAGCCTTATCGGGCCTCCCTGGTGGTGCAAGGGGTTAAGCTGCAACCTATGAGGCTGTCCACAGCCACTGCAGCATGAGTGCGATCCCCGGCTTGCCAGGGGCGCAACCCATATGGCCCAGCAGACCTCTCCTGACTCTCCCGCTGCTCCCCTCAGCAGTGTATTTCAGTCTTTCGGCCTGTTCTGCTCCCCACTCTGTCTCTCGTGAATTCCCTCACCCCCCCACACATATGACCTGTGTCCCAGCTCTTACATGCATAAATAAATCTTTAAAAAAACCAAAATAGCCTCATTTATTTAGTATTTATATTTAATACAAGATCAGTAATGGAGTATCACAGTTTTATTTAACTTGCCATATATTGTGAAGGAGACTTTTATTAATGGTTGAATTTCTGGCTGACATTTTAAAAGCAGTAAGTATGTAACTTTAAGTTATTAACCTTTTTCTTTTTTTAGTGCATTTGCACAGTATAACTTGGACCAGTTTACTCCAGTAAAAATTGAAGGTTATGAGGATCAGGTATGTTTCATATAAATACATGATCTGGATATTTATTTCATTTATAACGGTTAATATATCCTGTAAGTATTGTGAAGTGGTGTGTATAAAGATTAAAAAAAATCATATTAATCATAGCCACTTATGGGCAAAGTAATTGAAAGTTAAGTTTCTTTTGTTGAGACTGCTAGTGCTATTAGCAGATAGTCCCTTTAAGAAATATCAAATGTACTTCTCTTCAGATTTTAGAAAATAATTGCTTTAAACCTCCTTTCTTGTTTTTTATAGGAAAAAAAATCAATCCTATATTAATCCAAAGTCTAGACTATATATTAGTAAGATTTATATCATAATTTGGTTGCTCTGGAATTCTACAGTTCTTCATGTGAGTAACTTAGCATTTAGTAATTATTAAATCTTTTCTTTCCAAAGTGCAAGATAGAAATGCTAAGATAAGAAAAAACACAGAAGGTCAAGGGCATTTTTTTTTTTGCTTTAGTTTTCTAATTAAACAAAAACTATATTAATTTACATCATACTTACATAAAGCATAATTTATATAAAACAGTATGAAGAAGGGCTTGGTAGGTAAAACATGAGAAAGAAAGGTAACAGTTACTCCTTGGTGGCTACTTATATCAATGCTTGCATTTGGCATTATTTATTATATAATATATAGTCTTGTAGTTCTAGGAGGAAAATGAGAGTAGACAGATAATGGCTTATAACTGAAGGGAGCAGGCAGGTAGATAGATACAAATGTGTTTGTACACACATATAAGGCTGTGTAGTTTTTTATTAATCTCCTAAATTTACTTTATTCCTCAGGAGATTTTGGTGGTTTTCATTTTTATTTTGTTTTGTTTTTAATTATATAAGCAATGTTATGTTGAACATTGTTTTATTAAACAATTAAATGCTAAAATAAGATGTGCTAGGTCAAAGAAATTCACCATTTTAGAATTTGGGGTCAAGCCTAAACTCACTTTACAAACCAGGCATAATTTTGAAACATAAACCTAATAAAGATGACCAAAAAAAAATCTATAATAATTTATAATAATCTCTTATGTAATTCTAGATTTTAAAACTTTAAATCATATTATCAAATAGAATCCAGAAATCTATATAAAGATTAATATGTCAGGAAAAATGGAATTTATTAGAAGAATACGAGAGTGTTCCATGTAGGGTAATATAATGATCTTGCCTATTGACCAAATCAAAGAGAAAACCTTGTGATGTATCAGTAGACAATAAAAAGGGAATTTGAAAATCAGCAGCTCGTCCTTATTAAAAGCAAAACCCTTAAGTTAAATGGGGATATAAGAAACCCTCTTTAATATAGTAACTGCTTAAAAAAAGACCAGTAATATCACAAACTGCAAATACTATAATAAAATTTTAGTTAAAGTAAAAAATTCTCCATGGTCTACTTATAACCATTATTGATTATAAATGGGAATATATAAATAAGACAAGAGAATGAAATCTTTCAAAGCTTTGGAAAAGAAGAGAAAGCTTTGGTGACTTCGTTCATATACATTTAGAAATACTTAAAACTCTGGTAAAATTAACCTCCCCAGCCCCCACCCCCCCAAAAAAACCTACCAGTCTTAAAATAATTTCCTGAGATGAATTTAAGGCCCTCATGCAAAACTCATTAACTTTCCTTTTTGGCCAGGAAATAATTTATTTTTATTTATTTTTTAAATTTTCTTAAATCATAGGAGATCTGTTTTAAATAGTAGTTAAACTATACATTACCCAAGAGTAACCTTAATAAGGCATAGGATTATGAATGAAATGGTTGTTGTCTTCTTGAAACTCATAAAAACAGGATCTGAACAATGAAAAAACACACCGCAGTCCACTTTTAGATAGAAAAGTTAAATTATTTAGAAAGTGATACATGAACTTAATGCAATTTGATTTGAATTCTGAGAGTTTTTAAAATTGGTTAAAAGTTTCAAAGTTTAGGGCCTCCCCAGTGGCGCAGCGGTTGAGCACTGGGTTGCGAAGCTGCCTGCAGCCTCTGCAGCGCTGGTTCAATCCCTGGCTGCTCCCCGGCCACCGGAGGAGGGTCCCACATGATGCACAGACCTCTCCTGCTGACCGCTGCTCCCCTCAGCATTGTACTTCAGTCCTTCTGCCTGCTCTGCTCCCTGCTTGGGCTCTGGTGAATTCTCTCACCCTCCCGTGCTTCTGACTATACCCAGTGCTTGTATAAATAAATAAATAAATAAATAAATAAATAAATAAATAAATAAATAAATAAATAAATCTTAAAAAAAAAAGTTTCAAAGTTTAGGTAAAAAAATACATGCTTAAAAAAGAAAAATGTGAGAAAAACAGGAAATTGCCTTAATAGCAGAAGATACTTCACAACCAACATAAAGTCAGATTGGAATGGTGGTGTAAGTAATAGACAAAGAGATTGGTAGAGCAGCATATAAAAGCAGAATTTAGTTCCCAAATATATGACAGATTTTACATATGACAAGATTAGAATTTAGGCAAGCATAAAGTAAAAGATAGTGACACAGCTGGTTTTCACAAGATGAAAGTTAAGCTGGACCTCTGTGTCTTATAGTATACAGAAATAAATTTCAGATGGATTTAAAAACTCATAAAATGACTAAAATCATTAAGTAAATGTGTCTACATGTTCAATATAAGGGCAGGAGACTATCTTAGATAGGTAGACTGACTGACTGGAGACCTAGAAACTATACAAGGAAAATGTAAACATTTTTCCTGTTGTCCCCATTCCTGGGTATCTAGTGAAGACCAATAAAAGTATCCAATGAAAAATAATCAGTGTGTTAAAAATGTGTGTGTATATATATATATACATATATATACACACACATATACATATATATACAGTAATATTTATTTCCCCAAATAGGAAAATAGCCTGAAAATATAGTTGGTCAATAGTGGGAATGACAGAATGACATAACAAAGCTGATTTTGAAATGTTCATGTTGAAAAAAGCCAGATGCAGAAAAATGTGTGCACTCATATATTTTCCTTCCATTCTCATAAAATTGACCAGAAAAATCCTGTGTGTATATATGTATATTTAGTTGTAGTTATATTTATCTATGTAGGACACTATGACTGGAAAAACTTAATAGGGTACCTACCGCCTGTGTTTACATGATTTGAATCAGAGGGATGAGGAAGTACTGATACAGGTAATGAGTCCAAGATTGGGAGTTGCCAGGGGAAGCCAAAGAGGGATGTTTTTAAAATAAGGCACAGAATGTCAAATGTACAATTTAAGGGTACATAAATGAACAAATTACCTTTCTTTTTTTTAGATTTGGGAGTCAGTTGAAAACAACTGTCAATTATTAGCTTATAAAACAGGAACCAGGCACTTCACAGTAGATGAGATTTTGGGCCCAAGAGCAATATAGGACACATTGAGAAGGATTCTCACTGGATTAGAACCATCCTTATAACCATCCTAGTTGAAGATTATCACCAGTTAATTAGTTTTAAGAAATTGGAGGCTAGTAACAGAAATGATATAAGTTCTCAAAAAATAAGTAAATAGAACACCTGGTTCCAGCAGTGTATTAGAATGTATATTTTTAACCATGTGGCTGGAAGTTTTATTGGAAGAAATATTGTATTGTGCCATATAGTTAAACCAGTTGCTTGGTGTAGAATTATAGTTTTCAAGAAGCTTGAATGAATATATTTTAATGTATATTAGTACTTAAATGCTGTTTCAATTTTTTTTCCCCAAAAAATTCATTGTATTGTTGAAGGTATTGATAACAGAACATGGTGACTTGGGAAACGGAAAGTTTTTGGATCCAAAAAACAGAATCTGTTTCAAATTTGATCATTTAAGAAAGGAAGCAACTGATCCAAGACCATATGAAGCGGACAATGCAGTTGAATCATGGAGAACTTCAGTAGAAACTGCTCTGCGAGCTTACGTAAAAGAACATTATCCAAATGGGGTCTGCACTGTAAGTCATCAATGTGGAGTTTTTTTCTTTTGTTTTATGTAAATGTGTCAGTGTTTTTATACTCTCTTGAAATTTGTAGTAACTTTAGAGTATTGACATTTTATAACTTGCCATATTTCTAAGAATACTTGCTATTTTTTCTAAGAAAGTCTTAATAGTTAAGTATGTTATTATAGCCCAAAAATGTTAAAATGGTTGTACCTTGAATTAAATCCAGGTAGGAATTAGAAGAGCATGATATGAAGAGATTCTTTAATCTCATATTCATAACTCATCCCAGTTAAATTTCTTTTCATTAAATTATGATCTTAGAATAAAAAAAAAATTCAGAAGTAGAATTACATGTTCTTATAACCAGATTTCTTTTTCATTTTGTGGTTTAGCCTATCTTTATAATTTTAGGATGAAATGTGACAAAAAATAAGTGGGTTTTTTCCTTCCTTTCATAAGATTATTTCTACCCAGATAAGTTTTTTAGTCCCCCTCAGTTTGTATTTCTGTAATGTTCTCCATAGACAGAACGATTTATTGAAATGCAGATCATATCATGAAAATCCCCTGTATGAAATATGTCGCAGATTTCCTCTTGCACTTAGAATAGCCCAAGCTTTTGAATATGGCTTATAAGGTCCTTTGATCTGGTCTCTACCTACCTCTTCTACTTATAGTGACCATGTATTCTGGTTCATACATGCTGTCCCAGAATAACTATTATTAATAGCCTGCCTTTTTAGTCTCAGGTTTTAGGACCAGAATTTATATTGGCCCCTTTAAATATGTAGCCCTCAATAATTATTTGATAAATATAGCAACATAACCTAAAATACCTTTCAAGTTCTTTGAATTATAGCTTATATTGATTAGGATTCTTTTGAAAGAATAACTCATCAAGAATAAGATGGTTGGGCCTCCCCGGTGGCGCAGCAGTTGAGCGCTGGGTTGCGAAGCTGCCCACAGCCTCTGCAGCGCTGGTTAGATCCCCAGCCACTGGGCGAGGGTCCCACATGGTGCGCAGACCTCTCCTGTTGCCCGCTGCTCCCCTCAGCAGTGTACTTCGTCACTCTCTCTGTTCTACTGTCCGCGCTGGCTCTGGTGAATTCTCTCACCCTCCCGCACCTCTGACTGTACCCAGTGCTTGTATAAATAAATAAATAAATCTTTGGGAAAAAAATTAATTAAAAAAAAAAAGAAGATGATTAAGTTGAGTTAGAGTGTTCTTTCCTGTGTTATTCATTACTTTTAAATCAGTAGGTAAGAGGTGACCTATCAAGTCATCACAGTTAAAAGGAAATTAATTTTCTCACCTCTATCTTGATACTTTTAAAGTATCTCATCAAAAAATGATGAGATACATTATTGTGAGGTCACAGGGATTGGCTCTAGGGTTACAGCCCAAAGGCTATACCAAGTAAAAGCCCTAAAACTAATGACTTCCATCAAAAGACAAGTATGCATCATTGATTGCCCAAAACTCCTATGGTGCAACTTTCAGCTGGTCTGTCAGAGGTCAGTAGACAACCTAGTTGATCAAAACCAGTAACAGAAGAAGTCTTTACGATTTCATGGAACACAATGGCAATTGGATAGTCACCATAAAAGGCCTGAATCTATGGAAGTGTACCAGTACCCAAAAATAAAATGACAAGAGAAGTGGCAACCTCTAAGATTATAAAGTAAATAAAGATGATAATTGCAGTCTAGGCCTAGTTTTTATTAATATGGAAACAGCCAGGATTGGTATCTCATTGTTTAAAATAAATTATTTATGCTTATGATATCTGTGTTTAGAATGAAAAGAATGTGTGGGGTGTTTAGGTTTACGGTAGAGTTTTACAATAAATTGTGCTATTTTGATTACGAACTCTTATGGTCCACTAAGATTGGATTGTGATTAATTGCACTTATTTGACTACTTGTTTTTCTGGTTACTATATTGGAATGGTAACCTGCTTTGTATTCCTTTATGTTTCTGTTGAAGTACTAAACAGTTTGTAGAATTTTATAGGTGTTCCAAGTTAGACATTCTGGGCCTCCCTGTGGCACAAGGAGTTGAATACAGCACTGTGCAGCTGTCCATAGCCTCTTCAGTGCTGGTTCAATCCCCGGCCGGTCAGGGAGATACCCACATGGCACAGCAGACCTCTCCTGTCTTGCCCCCTGCTCCCCTCAGCAGTATTTCTGTAGATCTGCCTGTTCTGTTCCCCGCTCTTGTCTCTGGTGAATCCTCTCATCCCTCCCCACACTTCTGCCCTGTACCCTAGCTCTTGTATGGGTAAATAAATAAATCTTTTAAAAAAATAAAGTTAGACATTCTGTGGCCCTAAATTCACTCTTGTGTTTTTCTTTACCAATAAAGGTATATGGTAAAAAAATAGATGGACAGCAAACCATTATTGCATGCATAGAAAGCCATCAGTTCCAAGCAAAAAACTTTTGGTAAGTTAAAAGTTTGTGTGTTGGAGAATTTTGACATTGCTTATAATTCTTTAGAGTTCTTGTTTTATTGATTGGCCTGTCCCTTGCTCATATATAATTGACTAAGAGCTTATCAAAACAATGTAAAACTTTAACCCTTATAGAAGAAAGGTATCTGTTCCATAATCAGCCAAATCCTTTAAAGGTCGCAATAAATCCATTGAACTTTGAGTGAAATGAGTGTGGGCAAGCATCCTAAGGGAACATGTGTGCCTGCAAACAGACCAGTTGGTAGGCCCATATGCTCATTCTGAGAAAGGGCTGTCTTGAATGAAATTTATATAGAGAAAGAGGACAGATCGAATTATAAGGTGACGTGTGTGTGTGTTAATATTGAAGGCTCTGAAGTAAATGCTTTTTATGTGAAGACTATACTTTAGAGATCCTTTCTATAGTTCATAATTGTTTTTATGTGGATTGCTTTGTGCCTACTTGACCAATACAGTGATAGTTTTTATACAACAAATTACAATTACAATTATGCCTAATAATTTTGTATACAAATCACTAGATTATTCCATGTTAATATCTAGGCCCCCAAAGCCCTGACTTTTCCTATTAGTTTTGGACCTTTGACAAGTTGTGCTTTTTGTTGTTAGGTAAGAATATTTCTGAGATACTGCCTATTATAAAATTCTGAGGCTTTCCAAGATTTTACAAGTTGGGAATTGAATGAAATCTTTATCTTTACCCCAGCCTTTTTTGTTAATACATGCTAAGGTTGTCAGAGTAAATAGTTATAATATTTAAGTATGTTAGTCTTTTGATTTGTTAGCCAAGATGGTTGGTGCTATTATTGTAGGTAAAGTGGCAAGTGTCAGTAACCTCAGTATGGATGGACCGGTTTGATGCATGGCCCATGGTTTAGTTTCTCCACTACAACTGTCTCAGAAATAAATGTAGGATTACAATGTTAACCAAGAATGTTTAGGGGAATCCACATAGACCCAAAAGAAATTACTTTCCTTCACTGAAGGAAAATCAGTTCTGTATATAAACATATGCCTTAGCGATAAGCTACAAGTTCCTAAAGATTCTGGTGTACGAAGTTAATTTTATGGACTTACTATGAATGTGATACCCCCATTTAGGTCTGAAAACTTGAGTTTTAATCTACCAGTATCCTAAAGAAATAAATTTTCACAAAATCACAGTTTGTGCCAGGATATACATAATAAAATCAGTATTGTTGAAATTGAACTACTATAGGAAAATTCTTGTTCACTGAATTTTTCTTCAAAGTATGTTAGAAATATCATAGTAAATTTACTAGTTAGTTTTCAGAAATTCAGTTTATTTTAGCTTGACCATATGTAAAATGAAGATGTTTGTTCTTGAGTTTTCTATTCTGTTTCATTTTACATATCTTGAGTATTTTTTTTTAACTATCACAATGAATATTTTATCATTGAAGTTAAAAATGATTTCCATTTTTTGGAAACGATAAAATTTCTTACGCTATCCCACAGTGCTACATATCGTGTCACGGTAATCTTGGTAAAATCTGTCTATTTTGGTACAAAGACATACTGTCAAAATAATAACAAGGCAGTAAAACTGGTACTTCATTAAGAAGTAAAAGAAGGAATATACTAACGTTCACCTAAAATACAGGTAGAGTAAAAATCAGAACATTCTAGTCATGGGCATTCTTAAATCTTCTCTTCTTGGTCTATACTGTTTTATTAATGTGTAGCTAGCTTAGGGATTTAATGTTAGTTGAATTAAGACACTTTTGTAACTATAGCTTTAACAAAGATGAAGGAACATAATTAAAGGCTAGGAATCTCTTAACTGTTTACTCCATTGATGAAAGAATACTGTCTACTCAACATCACTTACTGTTACTGTATAGTAATTCCTTTGGAAGGATCTTTTGAAATCGCTGGTACCTTTACTTGATTTGGAATTCTTTTTTTCCCAATCAGTAATGATATGTGTATATTGTCATGATAAATCAATACTGTATATGCTTAGAACTCACTAGTATTGATACTGATATCTAAATAAAGGAATTCAATTACTTTTGGAACCATGAAATAGAAATGAATGGACCTGTCTTTTTCCAACAAAGCTTCTGTGGATAATTTTGGATTAGTGTTTCAAAATGAAGACATATATACAATTCTTTTATTTTGTAGACCGGACATTATTCTAATAATAGTGCTTTTGAATTGTGAACTTTACCTTTGAGAGTACTATCATTCTGTAGACTTTTATGATTGCATAGACAACAAGATTATCAAAAGGAATTCAGATCTAATGATCCATTAGCCCGGCCATTGTTTTAGAAATATATTCTATTAAGAAAAACCTAACCGGTATAAATTTGCATATTTCTTGAGCATGCAAAGAGTAAAAAGATTAAAAAGAAAAGGAATTGCTATGTGAAGCCATCAAGAGAAAAAATTCATTATTGGTCATTTGACTTAGAAGTCAGAGTGGAAGTTTATAATCTCTCCTTCAAATCACTAAAGTGGTTCCCATCTTGAAAATTCAGATATGAAATAAACTTTTTTTTATTGATTTCTAGATGATTCTGAAAGAGAAGCAACTAATGCATGAGTTTATGTTTTCATAGAACACAATAACCATTTCGTCTCCAGATCTTTGTTTTGGGGATAATTGGAAAAATTAGTAGCATTGATTCATCTTTTAAATAAACTTGCACTTCATTCCCTAGTTGTCAGAAATGAATAGCATACTTTTTTGTATGTACAAATAGCTTTTTGTAATATTACAGTTTCCTACCATGAATATGTATTAGTTTATATGCAAAAAATTGTTTCAGAGGTGGAGGTTATGCCTTTTATGTGGAAACTTTAAACCCAGAGTTGGAAAAGGGAGGGAAAATTTATGCTTATAATTCTTTATAACCTTTTCTTTGCAGATATCAAAAACTTCCTTAAGAATGTTGTATTTATTAGTCATTCTTTAAAGACTATTTGGTACTTTGTATCATTGGTGTATGTTAAGCTGCACTGACTATGTTTTTGAGCTTCCTGATAATCAACATTATTAAATTTATTCTTAATTAAAGCATAAAAGGGTCAGTTAAAATATTTCTCCAAACGTAGGTTATATGATTTAGTTTTGAACTGTGTTTTAATCCTTGACTTTGAAATTCTGAAGTTGCATCAGTTATGTAGGTCCTTTCTTACTAGTAAAGATTAAATTCAGTAGCTCATAACTGAGCTTAACCTTTTGATTCTTTTGAATATCTCAGTGGTTAAACATTGGCCAGCTTCAAACTCCCCACTCATACTCTAATACTGTAACATTAAATTAAATGGAATTTAAAATTTATTCAAATTATTTTCCCTACCTTATTTACAGCTGCTGTTTTTATTTTTAAGGAATGGTCGTTGGAGGTCAGAGTGGAAGTTTACAATCACTCCTTCAACCACTCAAGTGGTTGGCATCTTGAAAATTCAGGTATGAAGTAAAAGGAATTTTTTTTTTTTAATGATCTCTAGATGAGTCTGAACAGAGAAGCTGCTAATTCATAAGCTGACATTTTCATGGTACATAATAACCATTTCTTCTTGGGGGTAATAGGAAAAACAAATAGTACTGATTTCATCTTTTAAATAACCTTGCAGTTCATTCCCTAGTCATCAGAAATTTGCAAGGGTAGCTGACATATTGTAAACTAAAATTAGATGCTACCATTTGGTCTGCTTTTCATACAATTTGTTCATCCAAGCAAGCATCTTCTGAATTTGAATTGTGCAGTTCTATTTTCTGTAGTGAATAGAATTGAGTGAAGTATAAAATTAATATGTGTAGATAAATATATGTATTATGTATATTAATGGATATACATGTTACATATATCTTAAGTGTCTTCTGTATTCATTTGACTTGTATGAAATTCACTAGAATTGAATTGAATTTTTTGCTTCAGAAAATTATTTTGAGATCTAATTGACATAACAATAATAATAAATTAACATGTTATTAGTTTTAGGTATATAACGTGATTTGGTGTTTATATATTACAAGCCAATCATCACAGTGGTCTAGTTGACATCTACTACATTCTTAAGATTTTTTCCTTGTGTTGAGGAGTTTAAGAGCTATTCTCTTAGAACTTTCAAATATAAAATACAGCATTATTAACTATAATTATCATGCTTTATATTATATCCCCAGGACTTGTATATTTTATAACCAGAAGCCACTGCCTTTAATATCGCCCACACCCCCATCTCCCTCTTTGATTTGAAAGTAAGCCCAAATGTTTATATAGAAGAACATTTGATAACTAAGATGAAGTATTTGAATTTAAGTATAGTAATCCCCTTTTTGCTTTCTATGGTTTTAGTTACCCACAGTCAATCTTGATCTGGAGGTATTACATACAGTAAAGTATTTTGACAAAGAGGGAGAGAGACCACATTCTTATACTGCTGAATATTATTATAACTGCCCTATTTGTCATTATTGCTATTAATCACTTTCTGTGCCTAATTTATCAATTAAACTTTATGCATTTACGGAAAAAAAACAATATATATAGTTCATTACTATCATAGTTTTAGTCATCCACTGAGGGTCTTGGAATATATCCCCTGTGGATAAGTGGGGACTACTATATTACTAAATAAATTAAAGAAAAATCTCTTTGATTTTTTTTCTATTTGATTCACTTTATTTGGTCAGTACTTTTGTTGATCTACTATGATAAAAGATGTTGTACTAAGGACCATAATGGAATCAAAATGAACTGGATGTTGCTGCTCTAGCTTCAATATTTTTAGTCTTGTGTCCTATTACTTTTATGTCTTGGTGAATATACCTTATTGGACTAGTGAATAGAGGTTAAGAGCATGGATTTTGAAATCAGACTGCCTGAGTTTGAATTCTAGCTATGTTATGAGATATGTGATAGCAAGAAGTCATTTAAGTTCTTTTTGTTTCCTGGATAGGTAAAAAAGGAAAACAACAATGGAAAAAGCTCATATGAATGTTTATTAGTTAATGGGGGCAAGATGGTTAGAAAAGAGCCAGAGACAAAGTGCTTAATAATGGTAGCCATTATTTTGTTGACATTATTCTTTCCTTCTGTTAGACCTCAGTAGCTGTCACCTGGATAATTACAGCAGTTTCTAAAATGGCACCTCTGTTGGACCAAAACTTACTGAAAGCCAGGAATGTCTGGTTAACAGTTCTATCTTCATCACTTAGCATAAACCCTAGCATATAATTGTTACTTTGTTGACTTGCTGGGTGGGCCTCTAGCCATCCCCTAGTCCATTTTTTATGTTGTCATAAGGAAAAGTGGGGAGTACTATACTTTTTTAAAATTTAAATTACTTTTTTTTTTAATTTAAAAAAAATTAATTTTTAAAATTTTTTACATTTTTTAAAATTTAAATCTGTCTTAAGACCATTTTAGTGGTACACTTTCACTTACCAAGATAGTCCACATATAGCTGCATGTCATACAAAGCCCAAAAGTTTACTTATCCCCTACCTCTGTTTTTCCAACTAACTCTGTTTCAGAACTCACCTTTATTTCAACCATATGTACCACCAAGTCCTCCTTAAAGTATACTTTTCTCTTGGCTCAGTTGCCTTTTCTTCCCTGATATAATTTTCATACTCCCCCCCCCCCGCCCCAAACGCAAGTGTAATGTTGCCTCTTTGCCGAAGTTCTTTAACTCTTAAAGAGTGTATAGAATATTACTAATGTATTTTGCATAGAACCTGTTATGGTATACTGAAACTGAGGTCAGGGATTGTCTTTTTAAGAACATGCCTTGTAGACCCTTCTGTAGTGGCAAGCATATATAGTAATCATTTAATTAATGTTTCTTGAATAAATCCATTTCTTCAAATTTGAGGAATTAAATAGTACAAATATACAAGAGAAAGTTTAGGGGAAATAATATTGTGAGCTCAATTTTGGGAATCTTCATTTTAGGTACCAGTAGAATGTCTGTGCGTTAAAATTGTCTAGCAGTCAGGTCAGTGGAGCACTTTCCTGAGTAATTGCAGGAACTGCTGATTAGTCTCCTCACTAGACTGAGGGCAGGAAGAGTCTAGCTGGAGTTTGAAAAGTTAAAATCTTACCTCAGAGAAGTCTTTGGTAGCCACCTTCATTGATACTTTTGTTGAAGTCATGAGGATCTTTATTTCAATAATGTGTTTTATGTAATTCCTTTCTTTAATAGGTTCACTACTATGAAGATGGTAATGTTCAACTAGTGAGTCATAAAGATATACAAGATTCCCTAACAGTGTCTGTAAGTAACTAATTTCAAAATAAAATTTAAAGACCCTAACATTTCTATAAAACCATAACTATTTTGTAATTAACATTTTAAGTAATATCTCTTCTTTGAATTAAAGTGTTTCAGATAGATTAAGATGATAAACAATTGAAAATTGTACCTAGCCTTTCGTAAGCAGCTTCATTGAGATACAGTCCACACACTATTCAATTCTCCATTTAAAGCAGAAAATGAATGTTTTTTAATATATTGTTTTACATCAGTCATTACTGGAACTTTTTTGCTCTTCAAAGACGGCATACTTAGTAGCGGTCATTCCATATCCACTCCCCGGTCCTTCCCGCAGATTCCTTTCAGTCATGGGCAACCATGAACCTGCTTTCTGACTGGTTTTGCATGTTCTGACATTTCATATGTAAATGGAATACTGTAATATATGGTCTTTGGTGACTGGCTTTTTTAAGTTAACGTTATGTTTTCAAGGTTCATTCCATTGGGGCATGTATCCAGTACTCCATTCCTTTTCACTACCAAATGATATCCCATGTACCACATTTATCCATTCTCCAGTTGATGTACATTTGTGTTTATTCTTTGCTGTTATGAACTTCCGTGTACTTTTTTGTATAGACATTATTGTTTTAATTTCTCTTTGGTATACCTGGGAATGGATTTGCTAGGTTATACAGTAGTTCTGTGTTTAAATTTTTGAAGAACTGACAAACTGTATCAAAGTGGTTGCACCATTTGACTTTAACTGCCAGTAGTATATGAAGGTTTCGGTTCCCCCACATCCTCCCTCACCAAAACTTAGCTCTTTTTATTTGTAATCTTTCTACTCACTATGAATTGGTACCTTGGTGTGATATTTTTTATTTCGTGGCTAATGATATTGACCATCTCATGTATTTATTGTCATTTGTATTTATTTTTTGGGAAATTATTTAGATTCTTTGTCTACTTCTTAATTGGTTATTTGTACAAATATTTTCTCCCATTCTAAGTGTCATCTTCACTTTTTTGGTAGTATCATTTGCAGAACAAAAGATTTTAGTTTTAATGTAATCCATTTTTTCTTTTCTTAATTATTAGCAGAAACTATTACTAACACAACCAAGGTCATGAAGATTTAGTCCAGTGTTTTCTTTTAAGAATTTTTTTTAGTTTTAGCAACTTAAATTTACATCTATTATCATGTACTTAACTTTTATTTTTTATTTTTTATTTATTTGTTTGTTTGTTTGTTTGTTTGTTTGTTTATTGTGGGACCCTCGCCGGTGGCCGGGGATCGAACTGGCGCTGCAGAGGCTGCGGGCAGCCTCGCAACCCAGCGCTCAACCTCTGCGCCACCAGGGGAGGCCCTGTGCTTAACTTTTAATCTCTTTTTTTATGCTTTCCCTCTATTCAGATTATGATTTAATGAAGTTTTCTGAAGTTCAATTTACAAATTCAAGAATTATTGAACTTTGTTTTATTGCCCTGCAGAGATCTTGCACACATTCTTTCCATTATACATGCTATACTTGTGGAATTTTTGTCCTGAGGATATTAATAATAAAACATTAACAGTGGCATTTTCTGTAAACATCTGTGTTATATATGAAATAATACAAGTATATTACAAACATAAAGTGCTTATATACAAAATTAGCTAACCCATAAATATTTTTAAAAAGTTCATTTTGAATTTAAGAAGAAACCATTTGATTTAACATTAAGAAACACGTAAGAATGTGTTTGGCTATATGCTACCTGAGAAAAGAAGAAAGCTCTGTTGTTTTGTTTGTTTCTTTAAGTTTTATTAGCACTTAAAGAGATTTCTCCTTTTTGCGAAGTATAACTTTCCTTGCAAAATTTCCCAGCAAAAAAAATACTAATGTCTGGCTTTCCATGAAGCATTGTAGTCAGTCTAATTTTATATCACCTGCACAAACGTGATACTATTTGCATACCTGGGTACTTGGTACTCTCCTCTTTGGAGAGTTTGAATGTGAGCATCGGTTCTTCCTAAAATGAACTTGTCTACAAAATTATAGACTATGGAGTTGTGATAGTGGTCATAGATGCTTAACATGACTGGGTTTTATAGGAATATATTTTTCACTTTATCTTAAGGGTTTTAATTAAGTCTAGATTTCAATTAACTTTTATAAAAGAAATCCATATGTTGAAAAGTCAAAAAGTTTTTTCCAGAAGTTCACCTTAAAATTTAAAATATAGTCTTCCTAATTGGTAATAATTTTTAATGTATAGTTATATTGTTCAGTAAATGTTCGTTTTAGATAAAACTAGTTAGGAATTAGAAAGCAGTGACTACCGGCCTATAAATATTGTTATAATGCAAGTTAAATGTTACTGAATTTTTTTCATTAGTGTATGTTCTTTAACCGGTAAAACAATGATCCCAGGCTCATTTTGTAGACTTACTATTTTTGCCTCGTTCCCCTGGGATTTAGAATAATTAATCTTACAGTAGCTTCCCTTTATTTGTCGTAATTTCCATATGTATTATTTATTAAATTATTTCAAATTTTTAACATATAATGGCATGCATGTTTTAAAATAATTGTAGCATAATTTTAAATTGTTGCTTTATTCACTTTTGGTTTTATTTTTCATTCAGAATGAGGTGCAAACAGCAAAAGAATTTATAAAGATTGTAGAAGCTGCAGAAAATGAATACCAGGTATGAGTTTCACTTATAAATATTGGCACTGAAAATTTAATTTCAGTCGTTTTTTTCATTGTTTAACTATAATAAGGTATGAAATTTTTGTTGTTTTTGCTTGTTTTCATACACAAGCAAACTTGTAAAGGCATTAGCCAACTTGTAGCAGTTTTAGCCACTGTAATTTTTGAATATTGGTCAACATATTCTATGACTCTATATGGTTATTTTGTTTTGATTGGAAATTTTAAGAATTATTACTGAAGCATTTGGATTATATATAATCTGCCTAGATCATATTTCATTTTGTACTCTGTTTTTTACTTTATCGGCTTCTCATCTACAATCTTGAACATAAGTATTTAATTTATGGATTGGACAAGTTTGCACTCCTTGAACACAGTAATTTATAAAATTGTTCTGAGTAAAGTAGATCCAAAATGAGCACCTCCCGTATTAAACCTATGTTTGGTTTCATTTCCATTAATGATTCAAAATTAGTATAAGCTTTTTTTCCTAGCTGCTTTTAAACAGCTCTTAAAACCATGTTGGGGTTTTTATTTGACTTTTTTTAAGCAGTGAAACAGGCTGCTTCTATAAGGTTTTTCTAGAGCATTATGTATTTTAGAATTTTTCTGCTCCTTTTATTGCTTTAAACTTTTAAATATTGTTTTCCTTAGACTGCCATCAGTGAGAATTATCAGACAATGTCAGACACTACTTTCAAAGCCTTACGTCGACAGTTGCCAGTTACACGCACCAAGATTGATTGGAACAAGATCCTTAGCTACAAGATTGGCAAAGAGATGCAGAATGCATAAGATGAACATTGCATGACCGGATCATTTTAGTGTCTTCGCGTTTTAAAAAAAATCATTGCAAAAGTATTCAGAACTGTCAAGCTACCCAGTCAGGTGGGCTGTTGCCATTTAAAATCACTGTAATTAATTAGTTTGGTTAGAGCACAAAGCTTAGCTAATCAACCATTATTTTTTATTTCTTTTATTATTCAGACGATTGAAATCACTTTAGTTTAAAATGTCTTTTACTTTCTGTTATGCCTTTCTTACAATGAGAAGATGATTCCTCTAGTTTAATGTTAAAAGTTTTTGAAGTGTTTCCAAAATATTTTACTTACCATAATCCTAAAATTACTGTTTTTGGTTTATGAAGTGGGTAACTTTTTATATTTACCCAGTTGTTTTTAATGGGGTCAGTAACAGACATTCTAGTTTAAGGTGGTTGATGAATTTAGCCATATATGCTGCTAAAGAAATTGTCTACCTTTCACCTATTCCTTTCAGTTAAGATTGAAGTTTGAGGGAAAACATTTTCTATATCAGTTGTGTTAAACCTTTTAAGGTATTTAGCTAGCTTAGTGTTTAACTGAACTTTTTTTAAACAAGGCCAAGGTCTAATGCTGTTTTGAGATTCTGAAATTAAATGAAAATACTTATTTCAGAAATGCATTTAATGCTTTTTTCTTGTGACAGTTGCGCAAATTAGCTTGAATTCCATATGTCCCTGAGTTATTTTTATCATAAAGCCACAAATGTATTATAACAAGGCAAATTGTAATATATATAATCCTGAACTCATACCATGTCTCAGTTTATTTTTTTTTTCTTGGATTGACAAGTGCTGAAATTCATTGTGACATTAAAATGAAAATTTTCTTATTTATTTGAGTAGAAAGTCACTTACCAGTGAGTCAGGTACTATTTTTAAACACTTTTCTTGGATATTGTGATTCTGACTGGTTGTAAATTAGAAAGGCTGGGAGTACATATGGTGTGCAGTTACATTCTAAATTTTTCCATCTTCCTATGCATCATAAGCATGTTTGTAATATTTTTTAAATATACATTTACTTATGCTACAGGAATTTCAACCCTGTGGTGAATGTTAGTATTACTATAGGGAGTGGGGTGGATCTATGGCTTCATTCAATCGAGTATTGCTTACTATACTCCAGTGGTATCTTTCCTCATATACTCCTGCAGATGTCTGGGCCTGGAAATGTTTTTTTTTTTAAAACACCACTTTTATTATGTGTAATAAAATATTTCATTAGCTTGGATTGTATAGATTTAAAGAATTCTCTCAGTGAAAGCATGTTTAATTCTTTTTAAAATCACTGTTGGGCTTTGAAAGCATTGAGAATATAATGTGAAATTACAGCTTTTTGGTTAAATCATTTTCTCTAATTTAAAGATACAAGTTTTACCATATTGCAGTTTCTAAAGAAAATGAATTGGCAATGATAACTCTCTTTTTTTAAAAGATATTTTCAAAAGTCTGACTGTGATTCTGAACTATATAATTTTTTATTGATTTAGTTTAGTTTTATCAGTTGGATTATCGTGGGTTTGTATCCCCTGAAGGTCAATTACTTTGCTGTTTTCTGGCCTGGAATTCTTTCTTGAAAATACATGCAGTTGTTTTTAAGGTGATGTACATGTGAAAGGTAATATCTATCAAACTAATTCAGAACACGATCTTCATAAAATAATAGTTGTGAGGTAGGTTAGTTTTTTAAATCTAAGGATAACATTTTATTAAAGCAGTAGACAAATGGAAATGAAAATATCCTAGAGCTCAGGGATGTAATTTTAATAAGAAACATAATATATGGTGTTGAATAGGCTGGTGTGATAGCTAGGCAAAATCCAGAGCAATTAGGATGCTATTCCAGTAATCTAGTTTAGAGCAAACACTATGTTGGTCTGAGATAGTAGGTGTAGGCTGTTAGGTTTTGGAGGTAATGAATTCTGGATATATGTTAAAGTCAACAACACTTGTCAAAAGATCAACAATAAAGAGAAATGTTAGCATTTTAAAATAGGGTTAAAGTTTTGGAGATGATTGGGGAGCTGGTCAGACTCTTGGTTTCAGATTTCAAGAGGAATTATCAGGGAGCAGATACTGGAGGCGGGGTAGAGAAATGCTCTGGGCTAGGAGAATGAATGGGAAGTAGTTTGATTGCCAGGTAAAGGAAGGGCTAGCTCCACAAGGTTAGTAAGATAAATTTACGATGGTGAGTATGACCACATGTTTTCCTTCACCCATGTAAAGCTGGATGAGTGCAGGCATAGAGTAGATGAATTGAATGTAAACAAGTTTCTGATTTTGCCAAGAGAGTCTGACCACATGAAGAGAGGGGCATGGTTACAATGATAGTATGTGAAATTTAAGCTAGGTAAGTGGAGAAGTGAGGACTTGAGGGGAGGGCACAAGAAAGTGAAAATATGACACAAGCAATTATTCTAATAAGTATGTTTAGAGTTGGGGAACTAGAAAGAATGACTTGGAAATGAAGGACATGGTGGATAGAGTGGTATGCTTAAAATTGAGATTTTGTGGAGTTACAAGTATTAGTAATAACAAATATGATAAAGGGAGTGTGACTGGCTGAGATTGGAGTTCAGAGAACTATGAAGCCTTGGGCTGTTATGGATGTTGAAATCAAAAATTACAATAGAAATAAGTGTTCTGACCTAAGTGCTATTTTTCCAGACTATACCTGCCTAGTCATTTATAATACACTTATTTCAGTTAGATAAATGTATGATGCACATACTCATGATGCTTTTCTCATTTGGGATTTTTGAAACTAAAAGGGGAACAGAAGCAAAAGAGGTGGAAAAGGGTTTCATGGAAGTTCTGATTCATTGAAAAGTAAACATCTTAGGAAAGTAATTAAGGACATATAATACAGATAATTCTGTGGCATTTGGGTGGTCCTTTCTATGTTTTAAATCACACCAAAAGCTTTGGAATAATGCAAGATCCTTTGAAAGAAATTTTTCATAATGATTGATAATCAGGTTGTGCCTTTGGCAGCTAGTGGGTTTAAAATATAGTTTGTCAGCAATTAACGACAGGTGTTTTTGTGATACGTACCTGTAGGAAATCTCTCAAGAAGAATGCGTATTTCTGTTCACTTTCCTATGTTGTGAATCATTCAAAAGCAGAATTACAGTACCCTTGCTAGTCCTAAATTATAGTAATTTTGGCTTTGAAACTGAAAACGTTTCAAAGGTATGACTCAGAATAGGCATTTTCAGGTTTGACATAGTGAGTATGTCAAGCTTTTGCTGAGTAAAGCAAAAACATTATTACAGGATTGGGTAGTAGTGCTAGCTATTGGGAAATATGCAAAATATTCAAAAATAAAATAACCAGTTACACTTTCAAGGTATAATTGATATTAGAAATTAATATCAAGTCATTAAGAATTAAGGTGTTTCGAGGACTATGCTAGGCATTATAGAATCAGGAAAATATAGAACCTGTCTCTTAAAGAAGTCTACAAGTAGTCAAGGTGTTTTGTACCCTTTTTTGTCACCACTTTCATAGAAAATTAGGGTTTTTGTAAGGTATTCTGGGAGACATGGCTGAGGCTTCTTGCTGACAGTCCTGAGAGTTGAGGAGATCAGTATCTTGGCACACCTTGAACCCATTTTGGAAGGTTTACCAGGGATAACACATATAAACTATTTTAAGATTGTTTACAAGATAAACTTCAAGCATATACTTACCTAAGGTAGCTTTTAAAGTGATGTCAAGCAAAGGAAACTTTCCTGGAAAGGATGAGTCTAAACTGTACTTTGGCACACTAATTTTTTTTTTTAAGTATGCATATAATTGGCAGGCAGGAAACCCTCATATCTCGGTGAAGTATCAAAATACAGGTAGCAGGTTTCTAGTACAGCTCCTTCTGGTATATCATCAGTAAAATGTTTTGCTTTTCAAAATTAAATCTGACTTTTTAAAAACTTGTCAAACTATAAAATGAAATCATAATACAAAAGGATAAAGTGAAAAATATATCCTTATAAAACTATGTAACAAGAATACTATATCACTTTCATCCCTGGTTTTATTTTATTTTTTTTTTTTTAATAGAGGCAAGTTTTTATTTATTTGTTTGTTTGTTTGTTTTGTTTATACAAGCACTGGGTACATTCAGAAGCGCGGGAGGGTGAGAGAATTCACCAGAGCCAGAGCGGGGAGCAGAGCAGGCAGAAGGACCGAAGCACACTGCTGAGGGGAGCAGCGGACGGCAGGAGAGGTCTGTGCGCCATGTGGGACCCTCCTCCGGTGGCCGGGGAGCAGCCGGGGATTGAACCGGTGCCGCAGAAGCCGCGGGCAGCTTCGCAACCCAGCGCTCAACCGCTGCGCCACCGGGGAGGCCCCATCCCTGGTTTTAGTATAATCTTAGTGTGCTAGTTAATTTAGTGTCAATTTTGTTTGTTTTCATTCTATAACAGTTTTCACTATTTTACAGTATGACTATCAGAGTACTAACTTTTTTTTTACACAAACTGACTGGAAAAAGCATACATAGAACAAATGTCAGATCATCCATTCATTCTGGTAAACAAATTTTCACTCAGCTTCTTGTACTACATGAAGTTAAAACTCCGACCAACAAAAAACTGTGAAGAGATAATTGGATTAAAAATGTGGTATGATACACAACGGAATACTACTCAACTTTAAAAAAGAAATCTTGCCATTTGCAACAACATGGATGGGCATTATACTTTGTGAAATAAGAGGAAGACAAATACCATATGATTTATTTATATATACAGTAGACAAGCTAAATAAAAGTAAGCTTTTAGACCACAAAGAAAACCTTTAAGGAAACAAAGTTGGTATGTCTTAGAAGATGAAATCATGGGGAAAATTGTAAAATGTTCAGCTCTTAAATAACCAAGTTCTTACTAAACAAATACTAAAAGTTTCGTTGACTAAACAGTAAAACTCATTACCTTCCTCAAAACTTCAACGTTTTTCTGCTGCCAACTTGCTAACTTAGCAGAATCATGCATCTCTTTTCTAGACTTCTGCCTGGAAATGAGGACTTGCCTCTTTATTTCTCAAAAGAACACTAAAGAGAAACACTATATGATCTCTTAGGCATAAAATAGACACTTAGGGAAGACTTTCTTTTAGATCAAACAGTGGTCCAGGACACTAAAAGTTAAGAAAAAGAAAAGAGAACCCTCTAGTGCACTTATTTTTCTCCTACTTGAGGGCTTAATGGAGGAGAAAGAAAATTCCTTGCCAGAGACTTGTCATGTAAAAACATCAACCAATCTAATTATCCAGCAACAGACAATGAATACAAATGCGGTGATTTGTTGACATTGAAATAGCACACACAACCTTTTAAAAAAAACTAAGTGGAGCTTCATATAGCAAAATAGTACATATATGCAGAGAAAAAAAGCAAGGTAAAAAGGTAAGTACAGTAGAGTAATTTAAGTGACTGTAATAATATTTTTTTTTAATTTGATGTCCAGCAATGTACATAATGCAATGAAGTAAAAAGCCCAATCAGAATAGTATATGTGTGGGGAGAAGCAAGGGGAACAAGATGGAGGGATTCATTTTATCTGTAAGAATTTATTAAACTGGGTGTTAATGTCTAATGAGCACCTACAACACAATAAGAAGCTTGCATCCCAGATATGAACAGCTTATCAGTCTTGGACTGCCTAATTGGAATTTTGTTGGAAAACAAAACACCCTTATTCTTGCCACTACTGTTTTGAGTTTTTGTTTTAATTATTTCTGCCTCTCTTC